TTTATATATATATTATAAGTGTATTATTATATATAATGTATATTATATATAATTACCTATATTATATTATATATAATATAAGATACATATATATCAATACATATATTATATATATAATGTATATATATATATGATATATATATTATAATGTTACCTATATATATACTTACTTATATATACATCATACTATATATACTACATATATACATACATATATATATATATATATATATATATATATATATATATATTATATATATATATATATATATATATACATATATATATATACATACTTATATACATATATATATACATATATATATATATATATATATATATATATATATACAATATATATATATATATATAATATATATATATATATATATATATATATATATATATATATATATATATATATATATATATATATATATATATATATATATATATATATATATATATATATATATATATATATATATATATATATATATATATATATATATATATATATATATATATATATATATATATATATATATATATATATATATATATATATATATATATATATATATATATATATATATATATATATATACAATCAGGGCCTTGAAGACACGAAGCTTGGTCCTTCTGTACAGGTACCAGCATCTCCAATTACTCTTGTCGAGAGAGCTCATGACCCCTGCTGCCAGGCCAATCCGTCTGCTGACTTCATGGTCTGACAGCCCAGAGTTATGAACTATACTACCAAGGTATGTAAAGCTCTCTGTGACTTCAATGTCCTCGCCGCAAAGACATACTGACTGAACAGGTTCTAATAAGTCCCCAAAGTCCTGGATCTTGGTCTTGGTCCAGGAGACCTCTAGACCCAAGGGCTTCGCTTCATTACTAAATGCACCAAGACCCACCACTAAGGATTCCAAAGACTCAGATAGAATAGCAACATCATAGCAAAGTCAAGGTCAGTAACCTTGATATTGCCCAGAGTTGCTCCACAATGACTTTGAACAGTAGCTCTGACCAGTATCATGCAAGTGACCAACATGCAAGTGTTGAAAATTGTTGGTGCAAGGACACAGCCTTGCCTCACTCCTGAGCTTACTGGAGAGAAGCTTGACTGGCCTCCACCACACTCTATAGCACTTTCAGTACCAGTATACAGACTTGCTATTAGTCCAATAATCCTTGTTGGAATTCCTCTCAGTCTCAAGATCTCCCAGAGTGATTCCCAAGTGGGACCCATCATCCACCTACAGGGCTCCTGAAGGCTTTCCCCCATAAGCTTCACTCCGGGCTGGCGACTGCCGGAACGCAGGGGAGACGAGTAGTTCTCGCTTCCGTCCTGCGTCCCGCCAGTCGCCCTCCCAACAGGATCCACAGCCCACCTCTCTTGCTAGGTGGGAGGAGCAATTTCCCTCCTCACAGCATTTCCAAATATACTAAACACTGCCGATTGGTTTTTATCTGGGGGGGGGGAGGAAAGGCAAGGCCCACCTCCCCCAAGCCTCCCATTAACCCCAGGGGGCCTAGGGGCATGAGTTGGTACAGGGCTAGGGTGTGTCCACACACCACACACACTCGGAACCTCTAGGGCCTCCTGCTGCTCCGAGATCCCTCACAGTTTAGCTTGGAACCGTAAGGTACCCAGTTTCCATTGGAGGCCACGAGGAGGCACTGCAAGTCTCGATGATGGACAGGCTATGCACTGGCAGGGGAGGCTTATGCAGTACTGCTCCCTTTTTTACACTAGGCTAGCCAGCGGCGGCAGCTGCAAGCGAGAAGGCATGCTAAGCACTTAACACTAACTAGGCTACCACACCATCACTTCACACCACCCTGTGCATGAAGCACCCTGCGCGTGAAGCCTCCCATGGTAACTGGATACCTTGCGGTCCCAGGCTAAACTGTGAGGGATCTCGGAGCAGTAGGAGGCCCTAGACGTACAGGGTCATGGCCTACCAGCCCATGGACACGCCCTGGCCCTGCACCAACCCCTGCCCCTAAGCACCGTGGAGTTAATGGGAGGCTCGGGGGAAGTGGGCCTTGCCAGTCCTCCTCTCCCCAGATAAAACTCATCAGCAGTGATTTACATAAATGGAAATGCTTGGAGGAGGGGAAATGCCCCTCCCACCCAGCAAGAGAGGTGGGTTGTAGGCCCACTGGGAGGCTGACTGTTGGGACGCAGTATGGGAATGGGAACTACTTGACCCTCCTGCATTCTGGCAGCCACTAGCCCAGAGTGAAACTTGTGGGGGAAAATCCAAGGGAACCCTGCAGGTGGATAATGGGTCCTGCAGCCCGTCGCCCCCTTTTATACGGAGCAGTGTCAGCGGGGGTGCTAGAGGTGGTGCCAACCCAGAGTGATTGCCCAAGGTTTAACTTCAGGCAGGAAGTCAGGGTGGGGGCTTGGAACATCCGTTCTTTGCTTCGGGATGATCGGGTGTCTCTGCTGTCAAAGGAACTGGGGAGGCTGAGAGTTAGGGTGGCTGCTCTCTTAGAGGTGAGAAGACCTGGCAGCGGCACGATCAGTGTAGACCTATTACTGGTCGGGCTGCAGTGACAGTCACTATCAGGGTGTAGCCATAGCCATCTCCAGCGAACTCCAGCCCTTGGTAGTAGAGGTTACTCCAGTCGATGAGTATATAATGGTAATGAGATTGAAGCTAGCATTTGGCTTCATGTCTCTTATTGCAGTGTAAACTCCTATTACGCGTGGAATTTTTCTTATTAACACGCTTTTATCACATTCAAGCTGAAGAACATTTAAATTTTATTTCCCTCTGCATTTGAGCAGATCAGTCTATTATTTAAATCTTTTTCTTCCATTTTGTGTAAAAACAAGAAAAATGTATTGTATTTACCTTCTCACACCAACTTTTCCTACATATTCTTCCCTATAAGTGAATATCTTACCCAAAGTGGAATTCTGGTTACATTTGCATTTCATAGCAATTTTTAAAACAAGGCGAATTATATGATCATTTCTAGTAACAACAGTAAAAACTTGACTATCATTATCAATATCAATTGTATTGGGACAAAAGTATTTTACATTAGAAATTAAATGAAAATTGGAATAACTGATATATGTATATATTTCAGTTAATATTGAAAAGCCTCTTCAATATTCATTTTGCATTATATGTTGAAATAATCCTACTTGGTTAACCAATAAAGGACTAAATATATACTTCTACCTATTCTAATTTAGTGCACATAATGATTTTCTGATATCCTATGGGAATATTGGTCATGTCTCTCTCCTGCTGTTTTCTCTATACATTAATGGGTATTGTAGAAAAGGTATGAATGAGACTGGATATCTTCACAATACAAGAGATCTTCACAATACAAGATCCAGTCTCATTCATACCTTTTCTACATTTGTCAACATGGATACGTTTCATTAATGGGTATGCTAAAGTTAGCATAAAAGTTAAAGAGTCTGTGGGTATCTGCCTAAAATTTAATCACCAGCAGTTGGTTCATTTATAAGATTGTGGAAAATGCTGCCATTTTTATAATCATATTGTCCTATTAAAAAGCAATTTGAGGCCAAAAAAATGTAAACAGTTCAATTCAATTTTTGTTTTATTTCATTTGTGTTAAGTTGTGTAGAATGAGAATATTCTTCACACTTAAATATAATGTGAGGCTACAAAACCCAACTCTGAACAAATAGGACACAAAATTTACTAATTTACTAAGTGAAAAAAGTTCATTCTTTTACAATAACCTATATGACTAAGCTTTAACAATGTTAATTTCCTTAAATGTTTACTGGCACTCAAAAAAAAAGAAGATGAAGAAGAAGAAGAAGATGAAGAATCAGGCATTATCTATATTATAGTATTACATTTTAAATTTCAAGATAAGAATGACTAAAAACACAAAATTTATCAGCACTTAAATAATTATGAAATGTAACTTCCAGCTGTATATGTACATTAGTACCAAAAAGTATCTTTATTATGTGGATTTCTTTGACAGTTTGTTACCATCTCATACCATACATGCTAAATACCATTATCCATTGTTTCAGATGATGTAGCATATTATAAAGATACTTATGGAAGTATATACATAGGTAAAAACACATTCAGTCAAAGTCAAAAGTTCATACTCCCTTGGTAATAAATTTATATATCCGGAGAATTTTGCTTCTTACCATAGGCTATCACCATTGGTTTACCATGTATAATATAACCATTACATGTTTTTAGTGCTTTTGTAGCTGTAGCCACATCTTGGAATGTAACAAATGCTTGCCCCCTCATACGACCATCTAAAATTCTGTATACAATTTTATGACCCTGAACAGATTCAAAGTGACCAAAAATAGAGGCAAGTTCTCTTTGACTCATTTTATGGGGCAAGTTTTTTAAGTATAAAATCTGAGATGGGTTTCCTTCATCATAAGTTTTGAATTTTTCAATGTTTTTTATTTCCTCGAGAGTCATTCTGCTTGAATTAATTACCTGTAAAGGCAAAAGATCAGAAGGATCCAGTGACAGTACAAAAGGTTTAGTTTTGTTCACTAAACACTTTTTCTCACTGATGTCCTGTATTTGTTTATTGCTACTACCTCTGTCTATTGCAGACCTGATAACATTCTGGCCTTCTTTACCTCTGACAATTCTTGGTAATTCTTGCATGTCCCAAAATGACTTTGGCTTTTCCTGAATATACTTGAACTTCAATTCCTCAGTCTTTGTCCTTTTCACTGATAAACCCGATATATCTTCTGAAGCCTTTGCTTTCCTTTGACTATTTTTAATTTTGCGTTCATTTGTAATATTATTAGGGAATAGCTCCTGTGCTAATTCTTTGATATGGTTTATGGGATGCTCTGCTGGGACAGTCTCATCATGATGAGGCTGAAGACGTACCAGACAAGATGTTAGTTTGTCAGCTCCATCTGTAATGGGGAGATTACTACATTCCACTTCAAAGTCATGTTTATTTAATGGAAAAGCTCCATTAAACTGTTCTGGTTTATTCCCACAATTTTCAAGTAACTCTTGCCTTTTGTATAATTTACTAGCTATTTCACGAAGTCTGAGCTCTTTTACATGTGGTGCTTCAAGAGAGGAATGTCCGTTTTCTTCATCCAGAAGTATTTTTATTTCTGATTTAGATAGTCCACTTGCACTCAAAGTTTCAGTGATACTCAATTTTGTCTCAAGGCTTTGAAATTCACTGTAGGATAATAATCCACTAGTGCAGGTTGTAAGAGATTCTTCTATAGCAGCTTTTACAAATGCTTTTTTATTAATCTGATCTTTAAGTGATCTAGGTATCTCAAGCTGTCTTTGAAGAAACTGTTTTAAAATTTTGTCCCTTAAAGTTACAATTTTATTTTGTTGCAATCTTTCTTCATCCTCCAACCCTAAGTATCGATATTTCCTTGCATTGTTGTTTGTGACTGCAGCCATTCTGTAGAGGGTTCTCTAGAATAATTTACACTTCATCAATGTTTTACATCACACATAAGGATTCCAGTTACTGCCATCTTCAGGGGTTAAAGAACCTGTGATTAAAAGAACAATGTCTACAATCCACCAAATTCCTACACCACCCATTGTAAGCAGTTTGCCAACAGCTGTTCCTGTCTAGACAAGGCAAAATCGGTCACAGTACCAAGGCAACCCTAACAGCTACATACTTGGATAGAAATGGAGAAGAGATGCGGGGAACATAACTAAATATATACTGATGTTTGTTTACAATATGTTAATAAGTGTGTCTCATTGTTTACATAACTTGAAATAAAAGGATAGTAAATTAATTGAAAGTTAATCTTATATTTAATACGATTTGTAATATTATTTGCTTTATTTTATATTACATATTTATCTG